AAATATCTGTAGACTTGTGTTATCAGTTTACTACTCCGAATTACATTTCGAAAGCTTCTATTTTATTTATGATAATCACTTTAAGCGTCCAGATCTCACACGCGTACAGAAAAACATTTTACAAGCCAATATTTTAAAAAAATATTTTTAAAAAGTACATTTTTATTACATGAAAAACTATGAACATTAACCTTATTTTAAATAAAGCCAGAACTATTTCCTTATAATTAAACCTGTAACAATAATAACAACTATAATAAAAGTTTTGTATTCCCATGAAATTATTCTTTGAAGTTATAAAAACTATTGATGATTAAATAATGTCTTTCAAAATTTCGCAAAAGAATATTGTGTTTTTTATGCGCTCAACATCCACGGACCTTATCGGACAGTATTTCAGATTTGAAATTCAGTATGTTTCTAATTTATGCAAATCCAGTTCTCTTTCAAAATTAGTGAGATTACTTATAAAAATGTCTGAAATGTTTTTAGGGGTTATTGAACCCCGTATTATTTTCAAATATTTTTTTTATGACCACAACCCCAACAATACCTGAAACTTTTTTTGAAATCCACCTAAAATTGATTTTTTGAAATTACTGAATCTGCCAAAGAAACGTATTAGATCGGCAAGACGAATCGTTTAGATCTTCGATAACTTTTTTAACTTTTTCAAAGTTCTCTGGATATAATTTAGCAAGTTCTCCAGCGAATTACTACTGGTTATGGTGGTAACTGAGTATTTGGACAATTTGCCGTATAAAATTGCAAACAACATGAAATAGGCTTGAATGGAATATTTTTTTAATTTTGTGCTGCCTAAACCATATATTGTGTAGGATCCGATAAAAGTCTTTATTTGGCAATTGAATGCAATAAATTCTCTAATATTGCAAGAGATGCATGTTTTGTACGAAACAGACCAAAATTCATTTAGTATTTTCTCAGCTCCTTATTTATGATCGTTACCGTGATCTTGTCAACGTTTATGCTGAGTCCTAGCTTCTGTCTCATTACATTTGATTTGTTTAGCAACTGTTGGAGTGCTGGGGTATAATTAGATACGTAAAATTTACAAATGAAATTGTATTGTAAATAGTTGTTTTTTTTAAATAATGATATTTATTACAATTTATGCCTATCGATATTCTTCTTACTACTATATAAGACCGTATTTACTCGGTCTTAGAATAATTAATATGTTAACTATCTTCCCATCTTTATGATTATATTCCTAACCAAAACTGTTATTGCAATTTATTTTATCTAAACGTTACGATATAACCTTTAAGTTGTCCCCCCTGTTTAATTGTCGGTTATGACCCTCATTAAAAACGAAATATAATACCTGTTAAGAAAACTGGGCGAAGTATCCGAAAATTATTTTTATTTATATTTTTGTTCAGGGAAGCATTACCGTCCGTGGGGGTTTTAATTTTAGAATTTCTGAGGTGAAAAATATAATATCGTTTCGTTTCGAAGCCGAGTCGAATAGGTAAAACTAAAAATATTCCGGGTTTCCGCTGGAAAATAAGCGGTATAATTTTCTGTCTCGGGAACCTGTGCCAAGTTTTAGGTACTCGCATCCGTACAACTGTATCCTTAAAATCTTATAACAAAATGTCGAAAGATGTTTTTTCACCTTCTATTATAAACGATTATCAGTCCTTTCTCTTTTCCTAAGGGGAGCTTAACACCCGTTGACAGGCCCTTAGTAAAAGCTTGGCGAGCACTAGTATATATTTTTGGTGCTATATAACCTTCATTAATCTACGTCTCATCAAATTTTCTTCTGCTCTTTGGTACATTCTTATACTTCTCGACGTCGCCAGCAAGCAATTTCATCACTTTCCAGCAAAAGAGTTTTTCCGATGTAAAACCCGTATTTTTGTATTTTAAATTTTAAACTTTTCTAGTTACCAATCAAGGAACAATTGTCGTCAACAAAGCTCCATTCAAATCTTATCTTCGGTGGGTGTTTTATTGCATAAATTAAGCAGAACTGGATGAGTTTTTCTCATTTTATTACTTAACACCGCTCAAAGGTGTTTACAGTTTTGAGTAGTAGCATTTTAGTAATACCAGATATGGTATTAATTTTTTTTTAACCAAGGCAACTAACTAAACAAAATTTTCCAGAATTCATTCAACACCAAAAACTTTCGTCGCAATAGGTATTACTAAACGTTCCTGGCTAATTTTCAGGTAACACATTTTTCTTTGAAATGAAAATTTACTTATTTTATTTTGTTAAAAAATTTTATCAATTAATTTTCAAAATCAGATTACTAAATTAACTGTTGTCTTAACTTTGTCGTTAATTTCTATTTCTTTTTCTATTAATAGATTTTGTGATATATTCGCTGATCATATTGATGTTGACCTTTTGACAATTCTGGAAAGGAAACAACATCACAAATTCACCTTGAAAATGTAATTATAAAAACGTATTTGATGTTTTTATTATGTAATCGACACGAAACAGCCCAATATCAGATTACAATCAGTGCAATTATTACTGAACAGAATTTTCCACTTCTATTTCTATTAATAAGATTTGCGACACATTCGCCATTCATATCAAAATCACTAACCAAAACTGATTTCATATTTTTAGTCTGTAATCAACGCGAACAAGCTCATTACCAGATTGCAGTCAGTGAAATTATTACAGAATTTTCCACTTCTATTTCTATTTCTATTAATAAGTCTTCTGGATTCCTTTTGTGTCGATTGTTTATAAATCAAACTTGCTGACGTTGACTTACGTTGGCTTCCTCAGAGCTTAATGGAAACTGGCTCGCAAAAGGGCCATATGTCCATTTTAAAAAGAAAACTGCATATGAACCTATGTCCTAAACGTCTTAACTTTTGAGACACAAGGTGGTTAAGTTTTCAAAAATAAAATATATTTTTTTATATCTGTAATACCAATTTAGATATTTCAATGAAATTTGGCACACATGTGGGTACTATGTATCAAGAGGTATTATTTAATGTACCACTTTTTTTTTTAAATACACCAGTGGCGGGCGTACTAAATTTCACCTGTCTGTTTTGACAGATATGGATGGTCAGTGGAGTGATTTCTCTTAAAATAAAAAGTATTCTTACAATCTCCAATCATTTTCTCTAAAAAAAGAAGAAACCCCTCTTCTCTGCATGGTCATAACAATATCATTAATGCTCTCAACATGTAGAGACATTAGTTTTTATTTATAAGTGAAAACTACTCCACAAAAAATTAAGAGATCAAATCTGCTCTGCTGGTGCTTTTTTTTAAAGGCTCACTGTCTATGGACAAATAATAATTTTGCTTAATTAAACAAAATATCTAGTTTTTAGTTGGTTTTAGTAGTTAGTTACTAATGTCCTTATTACATATTAGAAGATGTTCTTTTTATTTTTACTTTTACAGTTTTAATTTTATTGATTTAGTGTACGTATTTCATATTTATACTTCGATTTTTTGAAGTATTTTAATAAAACAGATATACAATTAAGTAAGAAATAATATTGATAATAATTCTCTGCCTGTTGTCTTATTAACGATATTGTTATGACCATACAGAAAAGAGGTTTTTATTTTTTTAAGCTAAAACCGCACATCGGATTGAACAAAAAACAAGAAATCAAATTTCTTTAGAAATGATTGGAGATTGTTGGAATAATTTTTATTTTAAGAGAAATTAGTGGCGTACCATTAATATCCGCCAAAATATACATGTGAAATAATTACGAATATTAAACAATATTATTTTATTTTAGTAAACTTTGAAATATCGAAGTTGAAAAGTTTTCTTTTTAAAATGGTCCCAAAAATCGCCCCCTCAATTGTTTCAAAACACCCTGTATATTGTTTGAGGGGGCGGGTCTAAACAAGGTGCATGAACATTATTTATTTTATTATATTATTTATTATATTATATTATTTATTATATATTATATAATTATTTACTATATTATTTTTTATTATTTGGCCTCATGGTCAAGAATCCCTTCAAGATTCTCATCATTTAAACTCTATCATTAATAATAATATTTTATTCTTAGATATTCTTATCAAGAGAAAATTAGACCTAACATAGGGTCATTCTGTTTACAGAAAATCTACACACACAGACCGGCACCAGGGAGACAAAATCAATGACAGGTCTTTTTCTATTTCCATTAATAAGACGTGTGGTAAATTCCTCATAAACGTTTGTAAGCCTTCCTTAATTCATTGCTGAATAAATAACACATTCGGTATAGTACGTGATATATATCGAGATGACTATTCACTTTTGGTCTAGCTCAAAAATAAGATTTTGCCTTGTGTAAGTTGCCGTAAAAATTTAATTGGATTATAAAATACAAAATACAATACAAAAAGATCGCTCCTCGTTCGAGGGTGCAAAATTTAAACTCATCTCTGAGTAGCACATGCGGAATATCAAGTTTTTTTTTAATTCATCAAGTCCATCAAATTTCAATTCAGGGACAAATATTGTTTCCACGTTTTTGATTTAATATTTACGCTCCAAAAACTCTTATTTTGGATTAGAGTTTAAGATATAAACTCCCACAATAAAGTATTTTGTTATAGAACGAAGAAAATTCCTTTTCTAAATTGGATGAAAACTGCTCATTTTACAGGCGTGCTCCTAATTTTAGTGTATCACACTCTATAATCTGGTATTGCCGGTGAAACGGTAGGTATGGTTGGAAAACCTTCCTACGCCCATTAAAATCATATATTAACCGCTGCAACTATGTTCTCCAAACTGTATAACCCAATCACAATAAAACCCATAAGAAATCGTCCCTAGAACCCGCTACATTCGCTATACTGTCGACCAGATTTTAATCAAGATATTGTAGTGAAGAAACTCCAACTGATTGAGCGCTCAGTAACCATATACATGTTCTCTATCGAAGTATCATCAAACGAAGCATGATGTACATGGCGTGAAAACTATGTGAAATGTTGAAGCTGTAGGGCTTGTTGTTTACAACAGGTATATGGTCACCGGGCCAAAGGCAGACCCAACCGGACCGCAAGGAACTTCACAGGAGCGATTCGAAAGACTCTCAGAATGAACCCATCTCTCCGATATGGACTCCCAAAAGCACCCACTCCAGCCCTACCGTCGAAAGAAAAGAATTCAGACCCGTCAATTTCCAATCTCCAGTGCTGAGCAGAAGGCACAGAACCGCTTCTGAGGTAAACTGTACGTCACGCTACGATTCGGGTGCGTTCACGTATTTTCTACTTTTTCAGTCATTAGAGACCTCCAACAGTACCTCGTCCGAGCCACCTTGGAGACCTCCGGAAGGTAGTAGCGATACAGCGATACACTTGTCTTCCACTTTAGATAGACGGCTGCCTACTAGCCATTCGACTCCGGGCTTTGGAAGTTTTTCCACCTCAACTAGACTACCCAAAGCGCAGAACCCTACCATCACGTTACTCCAGAAGGCTCGAGGTAAACGTTGACTGAAGTTCATATTCTGGATGTCAGAACCATTTGTTCGAACAGTTTTCGCCTTCCCTTACGAAATCTAAATTGCACTTTTCAACTGGAAGTAGGGAGATAATAAAATGAATGAATTAATGGTAGTTTAGATTGTTACGGCAGTTAAAGCGAAGAAAAACAAATTAAATTATGCTGATTTCGTGTCATCTATAAAGTCAGAGGCTTCTAGTAAAAATTCTATCTAGCTTTTAGGAGATAGGTTTACAGGTGCTACATAGAAAAACTTGGTATAACCAATGACTTGAAAGATAGCCACAACAAAGATGTGTTTATGTTGGATTGAGACTCACCAGATTGTTCTGCACTTCTGTACTATGTCTGTACTTCTGTACTTGTGCGAAGTCTAATCGTGTGCAAGAGTGTTGTATGAATTGGTCATTCTATGTAAAGAAAAACATTGCCTAAATTGGATAAAAAAGTATACACTCACTCCATTATTCCGAAAAATTTATGAGAGATGTTTCCAAAATTCAATTCGATTCGTTTCAATGCTTTGACGACATAAGTCTGCAGATATGGCTTAAAAATTCCTAGTATAACCAAAAACTTGACAGAAATCCGCAACAAAGAACAATGGGAAAAGAATGGACACCTACGACCAATATGGTCCTTTAGTCTAATTTGGATTGGGACTTCCCAGGTCGCTTCATTGCTCATTACTTTTTTCAATCCTTTGAAAATATCGCAGCTGTACTTAATTAAAACAAATAACTCTATAAAGGGATGTATATCATTGTAAAACTAGGTATAACATCTAAGAAAAGTCTAGAACAAGAATTATTTTAATAGTTGGCCATTTTTAATCATAGAAAATCCTTACGATGATAAAGTTAATAACAAAAATAACTGAGGATATCCAATATTGACACACGTAATGTGACGAGAGTATAAGAAAATATCTGTGTCCGATACGAATCAAGGTCTTTGAGTCCAATTTTGACCGATTTCAGTTAGGACTTCCCAGGTTCCTACACATTTCTTCATTACTCAGTACAGTAAATTTAAATTTTAGTAAAATTTCAATAATACATAAACATAACGACTAGCGCGTAAATTTCTCACCGTTCGGAAGACTAAGGAATAATTTGAACTCAATTTTAATACTGGAGGCGAACG